AAGCTTAAACCCACCCGCCCCGTATAAGCTTAAATCCGCCCCGCCCACAACCTTCCCGCCCCATTGCCATTCCTAAAAAGAAGTGAAGAGGAAAAAGAAGAGGGAAATAAAAATTTGAAATAATTTGAATATGTAGTCTTTTAAAGTTTTTGAAAATTTTAATATTTACTCACACTTTTATTATTTTTAATTTGACCCTCGAACCCCTTTAATTACATATTTTTTGTTTAATCTTAAAAACTATTTTTCATCTCATTCTTCCAATAAAGTGAAAGAAAGGCCGCAACAGTAGAGGTAAAAATTGCACGGAGCGCCTTATTTGGTCGCCCCCATTTAACATATACCCATTTTTTTTAATTTTTTTAACTTATACCCACTTTTTAAAAAATTTCAGCTCCCTTTCTCCTCAATGTTTTAACATTTATAAATAACTATGGGACAAATGACTCTTCCATTTGGGCAGATAACAATTAATCCACTCAAGTCGTTGGACTTGTATAAGTTAACGAATTTGATGAGATTTCTGTTGTGGGAAAAAAGTGACAATGGAAGAGCTGTACAATTAAACGACTAGGGAATGACAGCAAGTCTATAAAAAGCCATTGCAGTAGCAAAAGACACCATTTTCTAATTGGCACAATTAAAAAGCGGAGATACCAAATAAAATTTAGCGATAAGAAACGATAAAAGAAAGCAGATTTACATGATGCAGGGGACAGTGAAAAAGAATCCAAATAGGACAGTGAAAAACTTCAGCTCTAGCAAATTCGGGTTTGAGCATGGGCTCAACTAAAGCCAGCCCAACCAAGCTATTCACAAGTCTTTTACACCACATCAATTCCCGGTGGTGGCGACGGTGACGGCACGGCGGCGTCAAAGTTTTTCTATTTATTTGAATTTTCTCTCTTTATCTACTGCTGAGAAGAATGAATTTTTAGCAAAAATTAATGGGTAAGAAAGGATCAAGAAAGAAAGGAGGTGGTACAACATCTGGGTCAGTAACATTGAGAGAGGAGCTAAGTGGGAAGGAGAAACAAAATCATGTAAATGCAAAATCAATGCTTAAATTGGAACATATAAAGAATCTTGCTACCTGGGTTAGCGGTGAAACTCCCATACATTCACTTGGTGCATTCTTTGGTCAGAGATTAGCTGCTTCAGCTGAATCCTTGGGTGTTCCTCCGGATCCCTCTTTGTTTTCTTGTCAAAGGTTTGCTCTTTTTTTTTTTTTTTTTTTTTTTTTGTTGTTGTTGTTGATTTTTTTTTTTCCTTAATTTTTTCCCTTTTTAACCATTAATGAATTATTTTACTGCGTTTAGAGACTTGTTTTAATTTGGCGGTGGCTTAAAAATTAGATCTTGGTTCACTGTGATGGAACTGTTATTTGAATTAAAGTGTGATAGCAGTGTAAGTATTAATTAAAAATATCAAAAAGTGTTATTTGAGTTGACTTTCAGTCCTATGTTATGCATACTCTCCGAAATAATGTCGCACCATGTCGGATTCTCCAAAAATACACTACTTTTGGAGAATCTTACACGCACCTCCACAACTCACAATCTCAATAAAATTAATTTTTATCCTGAAGAAACCGTTTAATCCTGCTTGTAGCATTATTTGTAAGCTCTATTTAGCTGAAAAAGAAATAATCGTGCTTTGTTGAAGCTTCTGTTTTATTTAAACTTTAATTTTATTTATTTTTTGCCAACTTTCTATGTTGAAGCTTCGATTGTGATACTTTTGATCTTGCCCCCTTGTTTGCATGGTAAGCATTACCACGCGAATTAGAGGACTCAAGCAAGCATTAAGAATCATTACTTGGAATTTTGGTGTTTAAGCANAAAAAAAAAAAAAAAAATTGTCTGCTAAGTTGATCTTTGCCTTACATTTGGCCGTATCCATTTATAGGAGCATGTTTATTGAGATTATGAAGTACTATTTTTGGCATGTCCCGTTTATATGCTAATATGCTATTCGCGATTGAATGTAGAGGCCTCTCTCCCCTTGCTCATCACGTTTTGTTAAAAATGTCCTGCTCAATCTTTTATATTAACGGTCCAGTGCTTCAACGCAAGATACTTTGTCTTGTGAATTAAGCACGCGGCAAGCTCATTGCACTAATAATTCCAGACAAAGCCAATCTCGATGGTGTTATAGATTACCCTTCAGTTATAATTGCAAATTGCCAAATTGTATTGACAAATTGCAAAGTAGAAGATTAAAAGTTAAAACTGGCCTTGTTGTTGAGGGGTTTTTACTTTCTAGTCTTATATAACTATCTTACTCGACTTGATTCATTCTGATGCCTTTATAATAACTTTTCAATTGTTGGAAATACCTATTCCAGCTTTATTATTATTACATTCATTGTTATAGATACCCAGCCTCCACCTTTGCTTTCGGAATACCAAATTAATCAATATATGCTCTCTAGATGCTCAGCTTATTTTACAGCCAATCTAGGACTCATATTTCATAGTAGATACAACAGTGCTGACGGGGATCTCGTTAAGTTTTCATTAGGAGTTCTATGGAGATCCTTTATTCATTGCTGTTCGTTTGTTGGATGAAGACTCTAACATCATAAATTTCATCTAAAAAATGATGAGAATATCTGTCCGTATAGTCGTCTACATTCTTAAACAATAATGGATGTGTTCCAATTTATTATCAAGATACAGTGCTATTGTAGGAATTGAATAATAGTATGACATAGAATAGTGCTGAAACATGTTAGGCATTTAGTACATATGGTGGTCTTACTGACAGAATAACACAATACTCATTAACAGTACTTGGCTAATTAATTCTTTATCAAAAATTAAAAATATGAGTAGAAGGTTCCAGAGATTATAGTAAACACCATTTGAACTGCCCATGTTCTGCCAAGATTCTGTCAAATCTGAATATGTTGTCTTTTGCTGATTTTGGTAGTGACGGATTGTTCATCAAAGAAAAGTTCAAAAGGGTCACTTGACAAGGGTACCTATGGGGTCTAGACCCATACCAGTTGTTGAAACATTTCTAAATATAAGGAACATGCTATGTTGCAGAAATGTCCTGAAGTCTAGAACTATTTGGTTCCTTTTAATATATCTGGTTTATTGAACTTGCTTGGTACTTGTGTTATGTGGCAAAATACATAGATGAATGGTTCTTTGATGTCAGTCACATCTTTCTCCATAGATTGTTCTTATATGGCTTGAAACAGGATAGACGATTCTTTCATCAAAGGTTTCAAAGAAAGCGAAAGAAGCAAAGTATAATAAAGTAGGAATTTACTTCATTATTTTTCTTAAAGAGGAAACAACTCCAAGATAATGCTAGGATGATAAAGAAGATATGCCAATGTCTTATGTGTTTCAGATTCTAGATATTCTTATAGCTAACTAACTTTTTATGTCATTTGGTTATTCTATGATTGAGCTTAAAGCATAATAAAATGTATGGACCGACTTTTCTGCATAATTTCCCATTAGGGCAGCTCGGTGCACTAAGCTCCCGCTATGTGTGGGGTCCGGGGAAGGGCCGGACCACAAGGATCTATAGTACGCAGCCTTATCGTGCATTTCTGCAAGAGGTTGTTTCCACGGCTTGAACCCGTGACCTCCTGGTCACATGACAACAACTTTACCAGTTACGCCAAGGTTCCCCTTCATATTTTCCCATTAGATATCTGTAAATTCATATGATGGCTAACACTAAGCTTATCCAGAAAATCAAAAAAGAAAACGAACAAGGTCAGCATTCTGTTGACCTTCTCTAACTGTGAACTGATTTAAGAATTTTACGCTGGTTTGGAAAACAGAGAAAGAATCAGATTCCGGCTGAATCCTTGATTGTACTTATGTCTTGGCGTTTAATGATTTATATCCTCTTCTACAAAGGTGGCATAACTGAGATACATTAGAATGGTAGTTTGGAGTAGTTTTTTTCATGCAGATCATCAACTGTTTTGTGTATATGCTCTCTCACTTTGCTCAATAACTTTTTTTATTTTTATTTTTATTTTTATCGCAGTATGTTTAAATTCTTGCCACACTTTGACATAGTTTTTTATGAAGTACTTTGACATCATTAATTATAATATTATGTTCTTTATCTAATATGGATGGAGACTTGTTAATTCTCAAGAGTGTAATTAAAATTAGAAGAGCTAGAATTTTATTTGTTATGCTTTTTAATTTCTGAGATAGGACAAGAACTGTTGGATGAGGAAGACACCCAAATGTGGCGGACGTCTACCAACAGTAATAAGTTTTTATGTTACACTATATGCCTGTCAGGCAGTTTATTGGACTATATAATTCTGTCTATCCACGGTGTAAACACTGATAGTAACATCATACCTTATAGCAACGCCTTTACGTAATCTTGTTACTTTATAATCCTTGTTCGTAAAGCAAGTGTTTGGTCCAATAGATACTGTGGTGTGGTATCAATAAAGATACTTTTCTATCAAAATAACTTTTCTGTTTAGTACCCAGGAGTGTTGCATAGCGAATGAAGTGAGCAAAACCAATGAAGACAAAAAATACTAGGTGATTTCTTCACATCTGCTTGAGTCTTGGTGGCCAAAGCCACCCGATACTTGTCCTGGTAGGAGGTAGCAAGTACCTGGTGAAATAATCAAGATACGCGAAAGCTGGCCCTGACACCATTTTTATAATTATTTTTGTTTCGATTTCTCTGAAAGCTGGTTATGTTTGAGTTCAAGATGCAATTATGGGCAGATTTTTTCGATAACTGGCTGCAGCCTGCACCATATACTGTTTAGGGAACAATGTTCACAACTGTCATGTTTGAATGAGTCATTGCTGATTTTTCACCCCCTTTTGTTATGAGAAAATTGAGGCTTGCATACTAACTTGTATTAGCTATTCCGCAGGTGTGAATCTATCCTTCAGTCTGGCTATAATTGTTCATTATGGATCGAGAAGAACAAAAGAAAGGGACAAAATAGACTCAAGAAACCTGGTATTCCCCCGAAGAACTATGTTGTCTATGAGTGCCATTTCTGTTCACATCGTAATCTGAAGAGAGGAACTCCGAGTGGCTATATGAATGACCTATATCCTGTCAAAACAACAACTTCAAGAGTATACCCTACTAAATCAGCAACCCGAAAGTCTGAACAGTTGGATACGGTAGTGTCCAGTATCGATAAGGCAAGAGTCGCCCCTACTGAATCAGCAATGCAAAAATCTGAACAGTTGGATACGTTATTGGCTAATATCGATGAGACAAGAGTTGACCTTACTGAATCAGCAACCCAAAAGTTTGAACAGTTTGATACTTCAGTGGATAGTGCCAATAGAGTTAATAATGCAGATGTAATGGTTTCATCTGAAATAGTTGGAGATGATCCTACTGCTGGTCCTGCAACTCCATTGTCGACAGTAACAGTTACTTCTTTGTTGGATTCTAAGAGGAAGAAAAGAAACAGAACAGGGTCCAAGAAGAAAGTTGAACCTCAGGATGGTTCATCCGCGACAGATGCTGAGGAAACCGTCCCAACATCCAGTAAGCGAAAGAGGAAGTCTTGGACTAGTTTGAAGGAAATTGCTGAAAGTGAGGGTAGCAATAGCAGAAAGTTCTCCAACATATCTGTTTCATTTGTTCTTTGATTGTAATAACTATATTACTGTTTGTTGAGAACCCTTTAGTGTTTAATGTTGATACATCCATACTCTTAACAGAAATCTCATTTCTATGTTAGGTAAGGAGAGCTTTGGAGCAACGGTAAAGTTGTCTCCGCGTGACATATAGGTTACAGGTTCGAACCGTGAAAGCAACGACTAATGCTTGCATTAGGGTGGACTGACATCACACCCTTAGGGGTGCGGCCCTTCCTCAGACCGTACGTGAATGCGGGATGCTTTATGCATCATACTGCCCTTTATGTTGTAGGAGTATCAAAATATTCCCTTAAACTAAAATATAATTGAGAACACATAGATTAGGATTTGATGATCCGAAAAGAAAAAGATCTTTCTATTGTAAAATTTAGAGTGAAAATATTTCCTTTTCTTTGTTATTGAGACACTATTGATCTTGTTGAGACATTATTGATCTTATATTAGTGACTTATGCTTTCCTGAACTTGTGAGTTTTCATTCCTTTGCGGTATTTTCATCGAAAAATGCTTCTGAAATGTTATTTATTGAAATTTTGTTTGTGTTTTGGAAAAATTACGGTTTTTTCCATGACTTGAGTCTTGAGCTAAAATTAGGGTTCGAAAAATGCTACTTATCACTCATAGGTTGCATTTGGAATGATAGAAATTGCAAAGTACATTACCTTGCCCACCAGCACAGATACTCTGCTCACCAAGGTTTAGGCGGATGGAAAGAAATCACCTAGTAGTGTTTAGGATAATATATCCCCTTTTCTGATGCTTATTAGGGAAATTCATATTCCTTCACAAATATACAAAACTAGTACTCCTTATTGCTAGCTTCAACCAACACTACATTTTTCTCAACTTTTGATCCAAAAAAATATTACCAAACACTATCTTCCTACCATTTCTTTCACCTTGTAGAACTGTTATATGGCATCCGCTTTTGTACCTGACTAAACATTGGAAAATAATCTGGAAAATGATTTCTGATAGAACACTTTCCATGAAGATTATTTTCCTTGGAAACATTTCATCCATAATGTTTGAAGGAGGTGATTTCATGGGTCACTCTGCTTCTTAGTCTCTGGTTGTTTGGTTTATTGTTAAAGTTTAATGGGGTATCATGATATAGGAAATGGGTTTCTGGATGCTTTTTACTTCAACATAAGAAAATACTGCAAACAGCTAGATTAGATTTGGATTCACTTTGATTTAATGAATATCATTTGATGTAGTAATGGCTACTTTGTAAGGAGTTGGAGAAATGAGAGGGCGGATTAATCTAAATTAGTATCTCTCCTCGTAGAAGTATATCACTATGACTTGTGTCACATCGGTGAGTTATGAGTATCTTGGTCTCCTTATATGGTCTTGGACAATCCTCACCTCAAAAGCTAGCTTTTGGGGTTGAGTTAGGCCCAAGGTTCATTCTTATCACAGTATCAGAGTCAGGCCCATCCCAATTTATTGTTACCGATGTTGGGCCCCCATTTATATTGTCCACGCTCCAGTTGCAGGCCTGGGCGTGGGGGGGGTGTTGAGTTGTGTCCCACATCGGTGGGTTATGGGTATCTTGGCCTCCTTATATGGTTTTGGGAAATCCTCACCTCACAAGCTAGCTTTTGGGGTTGAGTTAAGCCCAAGGTCCAATCTTATCATGGTATTAGAGCCAGACCCATCCCAATTTAGTGTTACCAATATTGGGCCCCCATTTATATTGTCCACGCTCCAGTTGCAAGCATGGGCGTGAGGGGGGTGTTGAGTTGTTTCCCACATCAGTGGGTTATGAGTATCTTGGTCTCCTTATATGGTCTTGGGCAATCCTCACCTCACAAGCTAGCTTTTGGGGTTGAGTTAGGCCCAAGGTCCATTCTTATCACAAACCTCCTTTATCTTATTGTTACCCATTTAAATTACATATTTTATCATTGAGATGGTGTTCCTGTTGGGGTTTTAGTTTTAAGTATATTAAATGCTTAAAAGACGGTGAATGGAAAATGGAGGAAAACAAAATTTTTAAGTGAAATTTTAAGTCTCCCCTCCCCGGCAAAGGGATATTGTCCCATATTGGAAGAGGGGGAGGTTTTTTATGGGTATATAAGCAATTGCTCTTCTTCTAACTCTTAAAGAGTTGAGAAGAAGGCAAGCTTCGCGCCATCGTCGTCGTCGCTCGCTCGGCTTCGGCTTCGGATTCGGATTTGGTCAAATGATTCATTGATTGATTAATTTTTTGGACCAAATTTATTTGTTAATAATAAAATATTAACAGAAATGTTATTAAATATCTGTCTTAATAACAAAAATATTAATACTAAAATCCAATTTTCCGTTTTCTGTTTTGGTAACAAAAAATTAATTACCCTCTTCAATTTTCCCTCTTTATTGTTGAGTAAATAGCCATTTATGTTATGATATTTATGCTATGGCCATTTTGCATAAACAGTCATTTTGAAGAGTTGCACCTCTTTAGATTTCAGCCCAACATTGGCTATAAATACAAGTCCATTCTACTCAGAATTTCTATACAATTTTCTGAGTTTCTCCTCTTTCTTTTGCATACTTTTAACATCAAACAAAGCAACAGTAAGTGTGATTTGCTACCGAACTTTGTGTTCGCTGAAACACTAAGGTTTGAAGTACCACTACACCAGTGTGTAATTTGTTCTATCCTGGGAGGAAATAATCCACAACCTTGGGTACTAGGAAGGGATTAAATTCTTTAAGGAAACACTGTGAATTCAGTGGGCTCGGATTAAATTCTATTTCTGTTTTTCATTTCTGTTTATGTTAATTTATATTTCTAGAATTATTTTACAAATACAGTTTATTAACAAGCTTAAGGAATTTAATTCTGTATTTGTATTATACTCACTATTTCTGGAGAGTAAAACCTTTGTGGTTTTGTACTCTATTGGACATTAAAATCTACGTGATTTTAACGTTTGTGTCATTCTTTTACAAAAATGATGAATAATAATGGAAACCAAGTTGTTTCGATGGCAACTTCCAATGCCTTAACGAGCCGAACAACACCGGCAGCATTGGCACCGACGGAGAAACCTAGAAAATTTTCAGGGATTGATTTCAAGCACTGGCAAAAGATGTTCTTCTACTTGACTACTCTATGTCTCCAGAAGTTCATCAAGAAAGATGTTCATATGCTGTCCGATGAAACTCCAGAAACTGAACGCTTTCTCGTGATTGAGGCGTGAAAGCATTCAGATTTTTTGTGCAAGAATAATATTCTAAGCGGGTTGGAGGATGCTTTGTATAACGTCTACAGTGGCGTGGAAACGTCAAAAGAACTGTGGATTGCTCTTGAAAAGAAATANGGTTGCTTGAGTTTCACTGCCACTTTTGATTCATTTAGCCTCTAGTTTTTTGGCTTAGCAAGTAATTTAGGAATAGAGGGAAGACAACATGTCACGAGTCTCCGTTTTGATTCTTCCCTCAAATAGTTCTAAATAGGTAGTCCGTTTCTTGGAGAATCGATTATCCATATGACTAGGGGTGTTCATAGTTCGGTTTTACCCAAAAAAGAAACCAAACCAAGTAAGTTGGTTCTTCAAATATTGGAACCAAACCAATTAAGTCAGTTTTGTATCGATTCAGTTTTTCGGTTATTTATCGGTTTTTTCTTAAATATGAGACATACACTAACAAACACATATTTCGGCGACTACGTTTTCAACCTAGCACTATTTAACCAGTTTCTCTTTGAAAAATCTATCATTTACCAAGATATATTGATGATAATATGAATAATTTAAGTACTCAATTAAAAATTAATTATTTCTAACATGAAATAAATTTAAACTACCAATCAAACTAAAATGTAAAGGCAAATAATTAGTAATTATAATAGCAAAGAACTAGAATAAAAATACAAACGACTAATATATACCATAAAATTTTAGAAACTTTATATAAAAATATATATATATATATATATATATATATAGGTGTAATAATAAATTTAAATAGCTACTTTTATAGTCGGTTTGGTTCGGTTTTTTCCGGTTATTTTTTGATTAAAATCAAAACCAAACTAAATTTGATCGTTTTTTAAAATTCAAAACCAAAGCCAAACCAAACTTAAGAATTATCGGTTTTTTTGGTCGGTTTGGTTCGATTTTTCGGGTTTTTATGAACATCCCTACATATGACAATCTTTTGTTTGGTAAAAAGTGACCAGCATTTTATCCGCAGCATCCTGAATTACTTTTCTAGTTTGGCATGAAATTATCGGTAATGTTTGCTTCTCTGGATGTTAATTTATTGTGGTAATCACCTCTATTCTCTTTTCTGGGTTTTTCCCCCTAATAGGATATTACTCAGACCAAGGATGGGAACATGATGGTCACAGGACAGTGGTTTCACAGACCCGAGGAAGCTCAAAGAAGAAATGGTGGAAATTGGCAATCACGAGACACAAGGGAATTGTTCTATAGTTTTCACAGGGCCGAAGTTCCCGCAGAGTCAGTCATGCACAAGTGTGTGGTGCACTTCATACCGTTAAACAAGCAGATTCCGGGCGGCAAAGAGCATCCTGGTTATATTTTTCAAAAGGTATATGACACTGAGCAGATGAAGCTTTTCAAGTTAACAGACAAGGATTATGAAGATACCAAACAGCAGGAAATTGATCTGCTTGTTCAGAAGACTATAGCACGAGTCAGGCATCTTCCGGACATTGAAACTGAGGATAATTCTGCAGCTCCTGTTAGTCAGGAAGACCAATTGAAGAGTAAAAGACTTTTGAGGAAGAAGAGCATGACGCCTTTGGATGTTACCAGAGAAGATGAAGCACCAACTAGATTTGGTCAATCTAAAGCAGAAACTCCAGGCAGTTGTCCCAATAATGCATCAGAATACTTCATCATCCTTTCAAACTTCGAAGTCCAGACTGGTGAAACACAGCGTGACAAATGGCTGGAAAAACTGCTGCAGTCAATTCAGTTTCTGTGCAATCCTGTGGATAATGTACAAAATGATGGTAAAGAAAAAGGGGGCCCAGATGTTACTGATCTTACTGGTAATGCCAGTTCTGCAAAGCATGTGAATGAGTCTCCAGACAATGGTGCCAATGTAAGAATTCGCTTTCCAATGATTTTGATGATTGACAGAATTTATGTATAGAATGCTAGTCTCTATTCAGATTTTCCTTGAAATGTGTGTTTTCCTGGACTATTTTCAGGGTGATAAGTTTCGATGGCCAGACAGTGCTGTCCCTGCTGTAGTCGCTCTGGAGAAAGCTGCACACGAGTCTCTCTCATATGATTTTCAGAAGTACAATCAGAAGATGAGGCAGTTAACATTCAATCTTAAGGTTAGTACCTTTTTTCTTTTGAGGAGATGGGGGTATGAGTCCGTGAATTTATTTGATTTTCTTCTAATTTTCTGTGTGAAATATATTTCTACCTTCTAATTGTCCAGTTTTTCGATGTTGTTGTTCTATTTCCAGAATAATTCTTATTTATCAAAAACATTCCTGAACAGCTCACTCGTAGCACGCTGTCTTCTGAATGGGGAGTTGGATCCCTCACAGATACTGAACATGTCCCCCAATGAGCTAAAGGTATGAGCCCAGGAAAATAATTTACTCAATTTGTCGATTAAATTTTTGTTTTTCGCTTCATATGCAAATATCCTAAAATGCTAGAAATAATAGTCCGTCTGTGTTTTGTTGATTTATGGATGGGGTAGGTCTTGCTTTGGTGGTCTTACTGACCGTTCTTAAATCCACCATGTGCAACCTAAATGGGTTTACTTGTAGTTCATGAAATGTAAATATTGTTCAGGTGTGAATAAAGTAAAGTTGATTTTGGAAACCAAAATATTATTGAGCATTTTTTACAAATAAATGCACACAANCCCCCCCAAAAAAAAAGGAAAAAGAGCTAGGAGAATTCATACAAAAGAAGAAGTTGAGCAGTTACCTGTACACATTTTGGAATTGCATGTGCTCCTAAAATAAGTCAAAAGGGTGCTTGAAATGTGGAAGGTATCTTCATTTCCTTCCCTGCAAGAAGAAACTAATTTAGGTTACGTAGAAGACTGTACAAACCTGCCTCGTAGTTTGGTTTTGGGTTTAAGAATTTAAGAAAAGCAATTTCTTCTGCTTAATATTCATATCTTTTGGTGGATGGTTCATTTGGATTTTTATCCACACTTGGCAAATACAAGATTGGTTTCTTGAGAGGAATGTCTGCCTTATACGGAGATTATAAGTTATTAATCTTCCTCTGAAAACCTGTAGTTTCTTATTTCTGTTGTGGAATTTGAAAATTGTCCCAGCAGATTATGCTTTCCTTTATTTGATGTTATTCTCCATTTCTGTCTCGGGAAAGTCTAACAGCAGAAGAGATAGCAAGCAGGGAGCCCGAGGAGCCGGAGCCCATACAGGTTTATACTATATTATTTTGTTCCTGAAGAAGCTTAGTTGCTATATTAAACAGTCATCTTCCTTTTTCTCTTTGTATGGAGGAAGATGTTATGGCCTAGTTAATAAAGTTCAAATTCCAACAGACAAGAAAAATGTTAGGTGATCTTTTCTTATCAGCCTAAGTCTTGGTGGGCAAGGTTAACCGGTACCTGTGGTGGGAGATAACAAATATCTGGTGGAACAGTCGTGGTGTGCTCAAACTTGCCTGGACACCACTTCTATGGCAAAAATTTATAGCCTAAGTAGGCGTGTAAATGACTCCAGCGTTCAGCTCTGTTGGGCTATAATACTAGATAAGTTTCAACATGAAACTGAGGTCGACTCAATGGAGTAAATGAACTTCAGCTTCATTGTGAGCTCAACTATATGCTTATTCGAAATTCTTTAAGAAATTCAATAAAAAAAATCGTGTTTATATACTACTCCCTCTATTTCAATTTAGATGACACACTTTCCTTATTAGTCCGTTCCAAAAAGAATGACACATTTCTACAATTGGAAATAATTCAACTTTAAACTCTTTATTTTACCCATTTTACCCTTAATGAGAAGCTTTTATAACCACACAAATATCATGGCCCCACAAAGCTTTGACGCCTTAAATTTTTAAGCTCACAAGTTTCAAAAGTCCTTTTTTTTACCTCATCTAAATTGAAATAGAGAGAATATTATTACTGCTCGTCCGGTAGATATGATGGTATTTGTGAAGCTACTTTGAAGAATTAGTCTCATGATGAGCATGCACTCAGAATATATTCAGTTGAAATTTTACAAATAGCTTCAGGGCATTAATGTGTTCTGATGGAGATTTTGGTGAATAAAATCTTCCTTTCTGGAGAGGTGCATAAGCCGATACAGATGGGGCCAAATTTTCTTGCACCTTGTAGGTGCTCCTTTTGGGTATTGACAATGTTGGTAATTTTTCGGCATTCAAGTCTTAACCAGGATTTAGTTTAACTAACCATAGCAAACTTTAGTTTAGTACTTTGGTGATGGAGTTGGTCGTTGATTCAGATCACCAGCTACATGTATCCGTTTGAGATAAGATTAAATGTGATCGAATATTTTTCTCGTATTCAGGGAGGAAAGCTGCGTATGTTTTTGTTTTCTATGATGAATTTGAATATAGCTTCTCAATGTACTGAAAGCCTTTTAATTCTGAAGAATCATCTTTTCATGTTGAGTACTTGGAAAAAAAGTTTTAGAAATTTGGCCATGTTAATTGGCAAAATTAATGTGATCATGTTATAAGACTGGGAAACATTTCATTACAACATATCTTATTGCTTTATTATGTTCTTTTTGTGTGACAGATGACAGATGCTTCTTACAGAAAACTTTACACAGGTTGAGTATGTTGTTTCTTGTTGCTCACTTCTGATTGGTTTGTGGCACCGATGACTGATGCTTGTTGCAAAAGATGCACAGAGAAAAAAATGCGGCTCATGTAGATTATTCAGGCTAGACATGGAGACCGTTACCAGGTTTGTCCTTGCAGCTTTTTTCTGTTTGAGATATATTTGTTCGTTGATACACCATGATGTTTTTCTTTGGCTATTTCTTGTCCTCTCTTATTATTATTCGTTTTCTTTTGCGGGGAGGGGTGGAGAACTGCTTATTATGTTAGCAATTCCTTGCCGCACCCGAAACTTCAAATAGTTGATTGGATTTTGATTATATGTTGATAGTGGTGGGGAAGATATTTAAATATTATGTTCGATGTTGTGACAGTATGTGATCTCTTATTGAATTCTTTTCTGTTCTCGGGCTAAAGCTAATTCCCCCATGTCATGATTGCCATTACACTGAACTATCATGCAAAATGTTGAAGGGAATTACCTTGCATAAGGACCTTTTTTGCCTGTCATGTGTCTTAAATTTTATGTAGTCACTTTGGAATTTCTTGTATTTAAAGAGAAAAAAAACAGATTGAATATCGTGTAAGCGCCATTGGGAAACTTTTCTAATAGAATCCTATGTACTTTTTAGCCGTGTTATCTCCGATCTTCCTCGAATATTTTGGTTGCTGCACTGACTGCCTCTTGTTTCTGTGTTATTTATTTTTTGATTATCTCAGCTGGAGTGTATTGCTTGTGGCAATACTTGGTATGCTTCTAGAGACGAAGCTGCTAGCCTAACATTAGACGGGCCAAATTTTACGAAGAGTGTTGGAACAGAACCGTTAGCAACTGCCAAGTTCGAAGACGTGGAGAAGAATTTAACAAGCCCTAGAAGAGCTGATAAAGGAGCTAGTGATGTTCTGAAGAAGACAACTGAAGCTTACATGCCAGTTCTTGACAGCCAGAGATCATTTAACAAGTCTAGGACTGAAGATAATACTTCCACTAGCAATGCTGACTGACTCTTCTGCTAGTTTTTAGTTCACTTTAGACATAGCCATTTCCTGTAAATAGATACACTACATACATAGTTTTTCAAACAGTTTTTCGTAAGTTTATTTACTTGGGGGTATTAGAAAATTTGGTAGTGTAGACAGAAATTCAATTGTGACAACTTGGTATGGGTTGTTCTGTTTCTAATAGGGCTGCTCGGTGGGCCGGGCCTGAACCGGACCGGACC